GGGCGTGTGTATGTACATATGTGCATACATACCATATATACATGGTGGCATTCACCACCAAGCCACCCGCAGCAATTTCTGGCAGCCTGCGTCCGCGTCAGACACGTGCAAGGACATGGTTGCCATTTCTTCTTTGGTAGCAAGAGCCCTGCTTCCGATGTCAGGCGTGCCACAGCCCTCCACCTTCATGGCTGTAAGCAATGTATTTGTGATTTACCATCCTCCAAATAAAATCCTGACTGATCAGTATCCTTACAGAACAGAAACTATGAAAGAGCTGAAACCGCCTGCTGTCCGGTTCGTGCTCCGACCCAGCCGTGTCCCTGGCTCAGCCCCGGGCAGGGTGCAGGTATGGGCTGACTGTGGGCCAGGACAAAAAGGGGTCTGGGGATGCTGAGGAAGGGCGGAGAAGCCTGGTGGCACCTCTGAAGACACATATGACAAAAACACTTCTGGCAAAAGACATTCTGTGTTGCCGGATGAATGCTGGGATGCCGAGCTGTCAAAAATGAGAAGCTGATTTTGTCTCCAATCCGGTTCGAAAACCTGCGGTACGAAAACCTACCTGTTCCCCGCTCAGCCCCTTCCGCCCGCCCAGCAGCCCGGTACTGCCAGTCGACCCCTGCCCCGGGGCGCGGGGGCTCGCTGCAGGAGGGCAGCACAGAAAGGCTCTGCACATCTGAGTTTCTGAGCTTGGAGCCTGAGGCTGCTCTGCAAACGGCTGTGTCTGCAAAGGAAGGGAAGGAGAGGAGAAGGGATTTCCCCCCATGTTGCTGCTGTTTGCTCCTGCTGTCCCCCACCTCCTGGCTCCGTGCACAGAGGGCTGAGCTGTGGCAGGAGTCTCCCTGGACACCCAGCAGCACCCTGAAACTTCTGTTCTCATATTCAGGTTGCATTTCATTTTTTACGCTGTCCTCCATGCCACGGGAGAGTGAGAAGGGGACAGCGCCAGGCACAAAGCTGGGACCTCTCTGGAGGCAGAAATCTTTGGATGTTTTCTCTCTGCTAAAACCCTGAAAGGAGAGAAAGAAAGATGCTGCAAATTAGTAAAGATGCTTCATCCCATGTAGCTGTTGTGCTGGGTACCCGGAAAGGAGGAGGAGGAGAGAGGAGACAGGGAAGATCAGGGCACATCCGCTCCCTGTATTTTGCCGCTCTGCTAGATCTGCACATGTCAGACTCTCCCATCGCCTATGTGTGGGGTTGCAATACACCTCAGGATAAACTAGGAAGAGATACACTATTGGCTATTTCATGTGCGGTGTGTCATCTGGCAGGCTGTATATATCACAGGGAAAGCAGAGACCACTCAGTCGCTGAGCAAAGCTGCTTCAGTGTATAGCTCCGAGATACTTTGAGGATGGAAGGAAAAGGGAAAGGCTGCCCTTGCTTTTTTGGTTCTGACAAGCTCTGAAAACTCTTGGGAAACAGAGACCTGATGGATGAAGGACTATGTGGAAAACCAGTAAAGCAGATTTCCAAGGAGGAGCTGTGGAAGACAAGCAGAACAGTGCCCAAAAGGAAATATTCACTAGGATTTCTTCCTAGGTGCAGAGGGAAAGTGTTTGGGCATCACTGATATTTCAGCACCCGAACCAGCTTCTGTAGACAGGACACATGGGGCTGAAAAAGAACAGCAGCTGGAGGGTCCCTGGAGCAAAGCTCACATGTAACCAGCACAGGAAGAAGGACCCACTTATCAACTCTTTTATGGAGTTTTCAACCACAGGGCAGGTTTTTAAAATGCGAGCGCGTGTGTTTCCTCCTGCAACCACCAACTTTAGCACTTGAGCTGCCGGGAAGGAGGGCAGAGAGGAACGCGCAGCCTGCCCGGGGACACGGGCAGCGCTGGAACTTTGCTTCCCAAGCCATGAGCAGGCACACGTGGTTCCCTTTGCAGTACATCTCCAAGCCCTTCTGGAGAGGGGAGAATCGCAACACGACCAACTACTTCTCTGCGCTGTACGGCTTCCCTAACCACTCCTTCTTCCACAGCGATTTGGACCTGGAGGACCTGGGGGACTTTGGCAGCGGGACCAAGTACGAGGGCGAGTCCCAGAGCCGGACGGTGAAGGCGCTGCTGATAGTAGCCTACTCCGTGATCATCTGCATCTCGCTCTTCGGCAACATCCTGGTGTGCCACGTGGTGATCAAGAACAAAAGGATGCACTCCGCCACCAGCCTCTTCATCGTCAACCTGGCCGTTGCTGATGTGATGATCACCGTTTTGAACACCCCCTTCACGCTGGTGAGCATCCCGCTTGTCTGTGCTTTGCTGGTGTCCGTGTGCCTGCCAGAGCCGTGTACACGCGTATCGAATGGGCAGTGACGGGCTGATACGCAGAGTTCCTTTTTGGCTTTCCCCCCTCTCCGTTTGCCTCCTGGACGAGCTGCAGTCATGCACTGTCCATAGTGTGCTTCTGTCTTCCAAAAGCAGATCCTGAATTATCAGTTTGAATTCACTTTTTCTTGAATTGATCCTGTTTCTTTGGTGGGATTTCTCTGCCTTGCTCTGATGGGATTTGCGTCCCTTAATCCGTTCAGGGAAAGGATAGTGCCCTCTTGTGTGTTTGCACCACAGTCACACAGTAATTAACTAACTAGTCTCTCTTAGGAAACAGCTTTGCAGCAACTTCAAAGAAACAGCAAATTGCTGCAGTTTCAGTGACGGAGTCATTACTACTAGAGTTGTCTCTGTGGGGAAATTATTAAATGAATTGAAAACAGATTTAGCTAGTCTTGACTAATTTTCTGTGTGGATAGATGTTTTGTTGTAAATGTGCTTTATTTCAAATTAGGCTAATCTGCTTCCAGAGTGAATTACATTAATTTGGAATAAATATTGCGCAGTCAGGAATAACAAGGGAGTGAGACAGCCACCGTTATTTGGAATAATCTCCTCTGCAGAAAAGCCACAATCGGTAACACCTCTCTGGGAGCTCGCGAGGAATGCCATGCTGCCCTTGCCACCGCAGTCTCAGGGAGGCTTTAAACTCCCCCAGCCTCCCTCCCCTCCCAAGGGCGGCTGGAGCTCGTGCCCAGGCGGAGCCAAGGTCAGATCCGTGAGGAAGGCAAGCGTGAGTCGCCTTTTCAACCGGAGGGTAAAATTTTCCTCTCTGTTTGGGTAACTTAATTGACACCTCTGAAATTGCTGTTGATGTATCTCACACAACGTGGCAAGAGGAGCGTCGGGCTCGGAGATCAGCGTGCGAGCTGGACCCTGCCAGCCAGCTCCGTGCCCGGGTTCTGAGCTGGCTGCGAGCTGCAGACCCCGCAGGGCAGGGAGGCAGGGGCGCGCCACAGGCAGGCAGCCCCTAACTCACAGGGCTTGTGCGGTGACCTCAACGATTTTTTTCTCCCATGAATTTATCTCACTAAGTTTTGACCCCAAGCAACTTTCAACATCCACAAATTCAAAGGTTTTCACAGTGGCAGACGTGCAACTGTTTTTAAGGAGGCAAGCTGCTGTTTTTCCCTAATCAAGGAGTTGAGCTAAGATTTCTTTACATTTTCCAGAAGGACCAAGTTACATGTACACATGTACACATGCACACCCAAGCACACACAGACAGAGCACTGCTCAGGCGGATTTGTTTGCGCAGTATAATAAATCTCAGCTCTGTTTCAAAGCCTCTCACATAGCCGCTGTTTCCCCAGAAAAACTGAGTACAACGCATCTACAAAGCATAAGGAAACTGTATTAAAGCATTTCTTCCTTACCATACTCCAGGGAAAGCCTATTTGTGACTCTCCGGATAACGCACACTGGTTTAATCTGGTTTTGTCTGTTCTTCAGGTGCGGTTCGTAAGCAGTACCTGGGTTTTTGGAAAGCTGATGTGCCACATAAGCCGGTTTGTTCAGTACTGCTCTGTTCATGTGTCTGTGCTGACCCTTGCTGCCATCGCTCTGGATCGGCACCAGGTATGTGATATACATCACCCCTATGTTTGCTAGAAAGTAAGGCGCTAAATACATAGTTTTTTCCCCTTCAAATCCCAGTACCTGGAAACCTGCATTGTCTTGGGAGTCAAGGAATGGAAGGGACAACTCTAGCTCTCCCGGCAGTGACAAAACCCCCACTTTTTTTACAGCGAGGGTGATCAGACACTGGAACAGGCTCCTCGGGGAGGCTGTGGAGTCTCTGTCCTTGGAGATGACCAAAGCCCAAGCAGACAGAGCCCTGGGCAGGTGCTCCAGCGGGCCCTGCTTTGCACAGGGAGCCTGACCGGACGATCTCCAGGGGTCCCTGCCCGCCTCCGCCGCGCTGCGGAGCACAGCCCTGAAAGCATGGCGGGAATATATTCCGAAGTTCAAACACCAGCAAGCCAGTGCATTTTCCCAGCATTTGTTTCTGAAGAGTCTTACGATTTTTAGGCTTGCCCCATTATTTTGGGATGCCTCAGACTGGAAGTAGTGAGAACTGTGTTAGCACTTTCAGTTCAAGATGAGAAATTCTCCTCTTGTCCCCCCACCCCGATACTTTTTCGGCAATTACCAACCAGGAAAACCTTACAGGTCAAGCAATGACTGCAAACCAAAGTGTTTCCTTGAAGTATAATACAGTTTGTAATTTTGCTTAAGCTGATAACTGCTGTGCACTGACAGAGCAGATCCTACAAGGTGCGCTCTCAGGCAGCCTGTGTATTTTTCTTGCAGTGCTGGAGTCACAGTAAAGGTTGTTACTGAAAAGCAATTTCACATAATAAATGACATGGCTAGATGAAGTTCAAAACAATAACGGATTCCACTCTGATCATCTGGGATGTGCTCCATCTGGTGTCAGAAAATTACAGTGGCTGCCAGAGTATAGATCATGCATTTCTGTCTTTTTTACCACAAAAAGGTTGGTAGTCTGCCCATTCTATGTGCAACATTGCAGTTCCTGAAAGCAAAGCGTTTTGATAATGATTCATTTTAGTCAGTAGATTCTGGGTTCATTGCAAAGCATGGCTAGCTATCAAGAAGTGTTTGTTTAATTAAGGACAAACACAATACCTGCCTTTAAATTCAGAGGAGTAGGTTCCTCAGAACTGGAATTAGCTGATATTGCCCAAGGAGATAAAAGTAGAAATAAGGAGATGTCACTGAGCAAAGAGAAATCAACATTTGCCTCTAAAAATATTTCTAATCCGGAGTGGACAGATGCTCCAGGGGAGCTGCAGAAGCTCGATTAAGTAGATATATATATAATGAGACTAGAAAAGACATGCGTGAAATACCAAAGACTTCATCAGCCAAGAGATCATTCGGGTGACATGATAGGTCTATTTTTAATTATTGGTTCGTTGCCTAGTAGAATCATCCATAGTGCACATAGCTCAACAGGTATCTAACCATCATGATCGCTGAAGCCAAGCCGATGGGTGGCACGGCGTGTTTCTCTGCTCAGGACTCTGGGCCAGCAGTAACGTTTAATACTTGCACAACTCTGCACTTCCCAGCCCTTATACTCTCCAAAGTCCTGTAAAATGAGTCTCTCTTTCTGCCTTTTAACGCTGGAGGCATGCAGAGCTGCTGCAGTGCTTCAAACTGCAACATGAGGCTGAAAGAGTGACCAAGACGCTGTCAGATAAAGTAGCCCTCCTCAGCAGCAAACACGCCTGGACTACACCATGCTGTAGCCACTACTGCACGGGGTAAACTGTGACTATAAGAGACCAGCTTTCAAGTTTGTTAGTGCTGCGTTTGCCAAAGATTACATTCAACTGTGGTTCTTGAGCACCTTGTCACTCTGTCTTGCAAGTCCACCGAATGCCAAATGTTGTGAGCACTGTGGCTGCTGTATTGGAGACCTTGTCTGCAGTAAGCAGGAGGATTTTTGCACTCCCGATAGTACGAGCTAGAACAGCCTCTGGGCTCTCAACTTGTGCCACACTTAACGTCTGTGCGGGGTATTCCTTGCTGTCCTGGAAAGCACGCGCACTGTTTGCGTCTTACTCGGCGATCAGCGTGAAATGCTTGCTCCTGGACATGGATAAAGCAAAGATGCATTCTTTTTTTCCTAAAGCTTGCAGCTCGTTTTTATCAATTGATGATGTTGTAAATCCTCAGGATTGGTTGTTCTCTGCAGGTGATCATGCACCCTCTCAAGCCACGCATGTCCATGGTGAAAGGAGGGATTTGCATCATTATTATCTGGGTTATGGCCAGCTGCTTCTCACTGCCTCATGCCATTTATCAGACTTTGACAAGATTTTATATTGGGTAAGACATTTACATAATGCTTTTTTTATATGACATACGCAGCTTCTTCAAAGTCCCACAGATTCTAAGGCACACATCTCTCCATCTGTGTTATTAAAAAAGAAAGTATGGTGAAACAGAGAAGTCTTCCTTCTTTTTGACTGGGCGGTGTGTTTCTCACAAAAGGACAATGAAAATCAGTGGAAGTGCTTTCAGGCTTGTTTCTTAGTTGATTTTGGCTCAGGGATTCAGCCCTGGAACTGGAGGCAGGCACAGAAGAGAGGTGCTCTTTGTCATTAGAGGGCACAGGTGTCAATATGGATTAGTTTTTTTCTTTTCTGGGGATGCATTTAAAATATCTTCACTGGGGCCAAAGGTTAAAGCAAAATTTTCCATTGAAAGTGGCGCTTGCCCGTGTTACTGAATGACTTCTGCTATCTGTACCTTTACTGAAACTCGTAAGAATGTCTGTCTGTCCCCCGGGTGTTGCGTGCATCTGGTGATGGAATTGACAGTTCTTTCTCTTTTTGATCTGCAGGAACAGAACAATACGAATGGTCTGCCTCCCCAGCTTCCCTCCTCCTGCCGATCTTTTCTGGAAGTATTTGGACTTGACTACTTTTGTTCTCTTGTATGTCCTGCCCTTGCTTGTGATCTCCATCACATATACCATGGTGGCCAAGAAGCTCTGGCTGAGAAATGCCATCGGGGACCTCACCATGGAGCAATACTACGCCCATCAACGGAAAAAGAAGATGACGCTGAAGATGCTGATGGTGGTGGTAATCGTGTTTGCAGTATGCTGGTTCCCCCTGAACTGCTACGTGGTGTTGATCTCCTGCAGGGCCATCCACAGTAGCAATGCTCTGTACTTTGCTTTTCACTGGTTTGCCATGAGCAGCACTTGCTACAACCCCTTCATTTACTGTTGGCTGAACGAGAGCTTCAGATCCGAGTTGAAGTCCTTGCTGTGTGTGTGCCGGCGAAGGAGTGCAGCCCAGAGCCACGCTCTGCAGTCCATCTCCCCTCCTTTCAGGCATGCCTGGGTTGAGAACTGCCATTATAAAAGAGGCAGCACCTGCCAGAAGGCAAGGGCGTCCTCCCAGAGGAACTCGGCAAAGACAGACATATCCAGCGTTCAGCCGGTTGTGGCAGAAAGCTAAACCCTTAGTCTGATGGCCAGGCAGCATCATGTTGTAATTGCAGAATCTCAGCAAAAATTGAGTTGGAAAGGACTGCCGGAGACCATCGAGTCCAATCTTCACCCAAAGCAAGCTAACTTCAACGTTTAATTGGGTTGTTCGGGACCTTGTCCAGTCAGGTTTTCAAAAATCCCCAGGGGTGGACTGCCCACATGTGGGCTCCAGAATGAGGGGTGTCGAGTGACTTTTTCATCACAACAGTCAGCAAAAATTGAGAATTCTTTAACAGCACACAAAATGTTTTATAGCCTAAGCAAATAAGGGAACCTACACTGATTATACACACACCAACTGATGCACACTGTTTTAAAGTAGATGGCTGTTTATGCCTATAGAAACACTGTATTGACTCCTTCTTTTTATTTATTTGTAACTTGTTCAAGATGAATAACATTTATAGCCATTCTCATATTTATGCCCGGCACATCTCAGACGCTTACTCTGCTGTTACAGAAATGCTGCAGCTCTGCCCGTCCACCTCACTGTGGCCCAGGCATGCTCCTCGCAGCACTGCAGACGGCCGTGCCTGCTGGTGCAGGGGGAAACGTCTCAAAAATCACAACAGGAACACAGCTTAGAAGCAGGACAGCAAAAACTCACTCAATTTTTGCAGGTGTTCTTCTTTCAGGGGCTTGTTTTGTTCTGTAAGGGTTACTAGTAGTCACCTTAAAACACGGCTTACAGTGCAATCTGTGGTCAAGAAAGAAATTTTGCAAGTGAGCTTATTCTCAAGCACTAGCTAGCTGAGGAACCAACCCTTTTTTAAAACACATGCCACCTGTCATTTTGCTAAGGACTAAACTAATGCCCACTCACCAAACAGCACCAGCCACCCAAAAACTAGAAACGGTTCCAGAGGAATTTGTCATTTTTGCACTTTCTACCATGTTTCTTTTTTGATGTATTTCTATTATCTACATAGGAGATACTAAATTGGCAGTCAAATGTTGACGGTCAAAATCATTTGATGGAGCTTGTACCCGTGGAGACACCAGTTTGTGTCTAATAGCGTGGCAGTCATGTCCGCTGCTGCGGGCAAGTTAAGCCGGCTGACCAGGGCAGCTCCCGGGCTGGCTGGCGAAGGCCCGCTGGGTGCATTCGGAGGAGGCCCTCAGGGACTGTGGGCTTCAGAGACCAGCCTCCCTCCCTCCCCTTCCAAATCAGGGGCGGCCAGTTGGCAGGCCAGGGATGGGAACTGGGCTGCGACCAGTTTCTCCAGCACTGGTAGTGCTGGCTCGCTGCAGGCAAGCGAACTGCGGGGCGTCGCTCCGTGTGCGAGGGAGGGCGGATGCCAGCCTCACGTAAAGGCTGCAAGGTCCTTATGCCACACAAGTACAGCTCTTTTCCTATTCCATGAAAAGCTTCATGGTTAAGAATAAAACCAGTACGCGAGCGCTCAGGGGTGGTGAAACCTGAGGTGCCTTGCCAGGCTGTGTATGGAGACAAGAGGGGTGTTGGCCAGTAGGTACCTGTTCTGCTGAGACACGTAGGGCTTCGCTACAGTCTCGAGGCTTTAGAATCATAAAATGCTTTAGGTTGGAAGGGACCTTGAGAGATCATCGAGCCCAACGCCCCTGCAGTGAGCAGGGATTGAACCTGTGAACTTGGTGTTATTAGCACCACGCTCCAACCAACTGAGCTAACCCAGCTTTCCCTCAAGAATGTCTCACATCATTATATTCCCTAAGAAAACTGTATAATGCTATGTTTTAGCATTGACAATTGACATTTCTTTAAAGTCTACATTATTTTCAGTTTCAATAATATTTTATTTTTCACCAGCCCTCAAGCCCCGTGTCCCTTGTGGCTTTGCTGCCAG